TTATGCCCTGCGATAGCTTAAACGTGACCTCCGACATTACAATACATATAATTAGACATCTGCAAAATACTTAGTCGTTAGTACTTCCTACGTTTGTACTGTTACGGAAATTAAGTTAATGTCGCTCATGACAGTACTGTCTAGTGCCCTACAGTCGCTAGACACAATGACACAGAAACCTTACCTGTATCCGTTGCGTGCGTTTGGACCAGGTAGTCGGCAACGAGTGAAAGAACACATCCACACAGACGTGTGCTACCTCTTCCGTTATCCAATTAGCATACCTCTTGTACAGAGAATGTTAGAATTTTATCAACAACTGATAAGAAAGTACGTCGGATTGGTGGAGAGATTTTTCTGTGTGCCCACCACTCGGCGCTCGAGGGTGAAGCGTTACTACTACAAGAGCCACCGGCTGGGTCAAGATCCCGGTAACTTTAGACTTTTAATTACACACGGAGTTTTTCGACGACTTAAACGGTTTGTATAACATGGGTCACACGACAGACTGTAGCAGCTGGCGCGACGTGGAGGCTCGGTCGGTATGCGACTGGGTAGGGGGGGGGGGTGCGATCTCCAAGTAGATGTTTGGAGGGAAAAGGTAACGGCATTCTTGCTAGTCCCATCCGTGTGTCAGAGAACGTAAGTTAGAGAACCATACCAACTTTTTCTTGCATTGGAGAGAACTCCAAGCAGAGGTTTGGGTTTTTTGGCGTGTTTTTAGGCTTTATTTAACGGGGCTTCTTTTTTGCACTGGAATTTTTTTACACCAACCGACGCCTAGCCAAAACCCAAACCTCTGCTTGGAGAGCGTGCTTGGAGTTCAAGGGAGTGTTGAAGTCGCAAATGGCCTCAAAAGAAAATAAAAAGAACAACTCCCCATAGCTTAAGAAAGTATACATAAAACTTAAAAGTTGAATACAAGATGCGCCACGATTAAAGCATACAAAAAGTGCTGACATAGACCATGCAAAAACACAACAAAAAGCATGCAGATCAACCGCAAATACCCGTGATAATCCATCTACCTGTGTGGGCCGATCTGTTGAAAGTCCGTCCCCTTGGAATAGATTTTTATTTGTTGGTTGCACGTTCATAGAACTAACATACTGGGAGTAGGTCAGACAGTTGGCGACAGGTAGATTTAGTACGAACATGTTCTAGTATCCAGCCAGGCTTGTTAGATGTTTCTTCACAGTTATTGTCTTCTATATTTACCGTTAGTCGACCTAATTCAACATGTTTCTATTTCTCCCCCTGTTCTTTCGTTCGCCTCAAATGCTATGCCATCTTCTGTCGACATGTCCCTTGCCCATCTCCAGTGTGCCTGCAATGTCGGTTATCTAGGGCGGACTTAGCTATAGGCTATCCCAATTAACTCAGTGTTTGGAAGATAAGATTAAGGCTAGCTTTAACTCTCCGACGGACAACTGCACAAAATTACATCTTGAACTTTCACAGCATATGCAAGTATATCACTGGAAATGATTGAAATTTGGAAAGAGTTAGAAAAATCCTATGAAGGTTAGATGGTAAGGATATGGTTTATATAGATGGTAATGTTTGAAATATAAGATTAAGGATAGCTTTAGTTCCCCAACGTACACTTGCACACAATTTCATCTTGACCTTTCAGAGCATATGCAAATATATCACTGGAAATGATTGGAAAAAGCTAGCAAAACCCTATGATGGTTAGATAGTACCCCCCCCGCCCCAAACTTTTCTAAATGATAGTTCTAACTGTACGTGCAATCCTGTGGGAACACGTCGGTAAACCTGCACCTGGAGGACTGTTTTGGGGGTAAGCCTTTAGTTGTAGACAAACCGAGGCCCCAGTAACCTACACTGCCACTGTTGGGACCCAGAGACGACAGGTGGAAAGCGTGCGCAGGGCGCCGCCATGTTTGTTTGGTCTGTGTGCCGGCGTGCGGTCGTTCTGCCTGGCTACAGACTGCGACACGAAAACGGCGAGCAGGTCCAGGAAAGAACCAGTGGTGACGGATCGAAGTTCACGTGACGGTCAAAACAATATCGGTACTGAATATGGTTAGAACATCAAGTTTCTATCCTTTTAAGAAAAATCTAGGTAGACTCACTCTTATATTCTATCTGCCAACTGACTACATTTCTGTTGTACAAGAAAGTTCGAATTAGTATAAGCTGTAGACTTCAACGTACGTATGTTTCTTGTGAGAAAAACTTGGAAGAACACTGCAAATATCTATAAAAAGGCAACAGCATCTAAAACGATGGGTTTATGTACACGTAGTTTTATAGATCTGCCACACGGATTATCTCATGATATCTTCTCTTTATATAGTTTTATGATTTTAGAGAGACGTTGGGAAGAAGCAATCGAGATGATCGTTGGGTCCCTACCAGGATTCAGACACTGTTTCAGAAGCGACTGGAAAGAGTAGAAATTGGCCAAATATTCAGATAACATGCCATGGGAATTGGTCCGCTAGAGGTGTACAGTTTGCCGCTCCCGACTATAGCTGCCCAAATCCTCTGGCAAGTTA